GGGCCTGGGCTGAACTCGGTCTCCTAAGCATCCCAGGGTGCAGAGCCAATGTCCCCTTCCCACACAATCCCACACCCCCAGCTGAAACGCTGAGGGCTTCTTTTAATTTTCCATCTTATCAGCTTCACCTCTTTTCCCACGGGAACTGCATTTTTAGAGGCCACCTCAGCACCCCACTGCCACAAAAGAAATAGCAAAGAAGCCCAGCCCTGTGCCGACCCCAGGGAAATGTTGATGGGGGAATTGACAGAGAAATGTCTTCCCCAGGTGGAGGGAGGAAAGCGATGCCTCCTCCAGCGGCACTGCGGTGTTTGCAAGGCGTGCTGTCCCCCTGGCTGACAGGCTGCTGAAAAATGGCTCGTTAAAGAGAGCCTTGCATTTAGAGCTGTGCTTAGAAGCCTGAATTAAAATGGCCTACGGCAAGAACTGATCTTTTCAATGGGAAAAGGGATGTCTTTTTCACTTCCGAAACCAGCTGATGAAATTCAGGCTGGGAAGCCTAATATTGGGCATCCGAGTTAAAAAATGGTGCTGACAAGTCTCCCCCGCTGCTTGCTGAAACCTAGCAAATTGTAAAGGTAGCTGCAAAACCGGCTGTCCAAAGTACACTGCGGAAGCTCCTCGCTAATATAATAGAAAATAATCTGTTAGCCCTGTCCAAGACACGACTTCTAATTGGGAAACTTCAAAATGCACATTCATTTGACCTCTTACATGGCAGGCACTTTTCTAGACAGAGCTTCACGATGGCTTCTGTCGCCAGAGGTGTCTGCACGCTTCCAAACTTTCAAATTGGGCATTTTCCACCAGCAGAACAGCAGGATAGCAGTGAGCTCAGAAGATGACACGTCGATACTCACCCCACTCCCAAACCTGGAGAGCATCCCCTCGGCTCCAGCAGCCCTGTGCAGGCAGCTCCGGGCGGGCACCAGCAGCAGGAAGGATTATGGGCTTGACTTGTATCGCCCGGCACATTCCTCATATCCACTTCCAAAACTAAATCCCCTATTTAAACTACTTAAATCTACGGAGGGATGGCTTTGAGGGACAATTCATACGGCCCTCTGCAATGTGCACGCTCTGATAGATGGAAATAGGCATTGCTTATCGCCATTCCGTGTAGCCCTCCTGTAACAATATATTCCGAAAATCAAATTTATATCTCTGCTTTCGACTGTCCCACATTTTTAAGCCCTCAAAGTGAGGTAATTCAGCCACCTGGCTTACAGAGTTCAGAAATCACATTTCTGGCAGTTTATATACTGCAGCTTATGTACCACTTTTCATAGCATTGAAAAGCATTTATTTTTTCAGCAGGCAGTGCTTCACTGTTGTACCTTGACCCAAAGAAAACACTAAGAAGCACCTGTGAATTTACTCGTCATCTGACCTTCTCAGCTGCCTGCATTTGCCCCCAGAACCTACTAACCACTAAAATACCATTTTTTCCCCTAACTTATTTGCTTTCTACAAATGTTGCATTACCCTCCAGAAAATATTTGATAAAGTTAAATTTCCAGACAAGTATTTAAAACCTTCTATACAATCTGCTGCACCCCAAAACACTGCAGGTCTCATTCCTGGCAGTGCTGATGGCCAAAGGGTGGCACAGAGAGCCTGAGCACACACTGAGAGGCACAGTGCTCCTACTGGAGGTGGTACTATAAAGATGGCAACAAGCACGTCCACTTTCCCGAGCTGTATTTCCTTTAAATTGGTTGGTTCCAAATTACTGCATTCTGCCGGAGCTTTGACACATCAAATCATCAAAAGAGCAGAACAGGAAAAATCTTCTGCAGATGTGCTGGAGAAATAGTCAAGCCTGTCAAGCGTAGGCTTAAATCAGACATTTTTCCATGTCCTTTTTATTTTAATTTCTACAGCCAAACCTAACCTTTTGCTCAGCACTAAATTATTCACTCAACTCAGAATATCTCAGTAGAAGCTCTCTGGAAACAACATATTAAAAAAATCATTGCCTACTGGGGGAGTCCTGCTGTAATCAAATGGACCCTTGCTTAGAAGATCCCAAAACCAAAAGAAAAGAAATGGAAGAGAGGAGAAAAGAAAATCAAAAAGCAAAAAGCTGTTCCAATCCAGGATATTTAGTCTTGCATTTAGGAAACTGAAAATTAAAGTACAGAAAATTTTGATGTATTTCTTAGCTGAAATCTGAACACATTTTTAAAAAAAAAAAAAGGAAAAAAAGAAACTACCCATCAGCAATTTCACCTTCTGGAAACTGGAATTTTTACATTTCTCTACCATGAATATCACTACTCTAGTCACATTTATATGTATTTTCATAAAATCTCATTTAAAATGTATTGTATTTTAAATAGCCCTTAGTACAGTATTTCTGGAGCTTCAGCTTACCTAAATGCTTTAAGGCAGCTAACTCAAAAACCTACTGCCACGGCAGCCCCTAGAAGCACGTAGTGCCAGCCCCCTGGATGCAATGGATTGTCAGCATTTGCATGCCTTAGACTCATAAGAAAACGTACGCCTTCAGGATAAATTATTAGAAAAGCATTTATGCAGAAATACAATGGGAATCTGGTATTATTGAGACTGCACAAAACCAGAACTTAATAAAGGACGACTGAACAAAAGAACGGCTAATCCCATGAGATAACATTTATGGTTTGAACTCTATTGCATTGTATATCGGGTTTGAATTCACTTCTACATCATCTTAGACACCCATTTCCCAGCGTGGTTTTTTTTTCCTTTTTTTTTTTTCTTTCCTCTTGTAGAAGGATAGAAACCAATTACATTAGTAGCAGCCAAATTTTCCATCACGTACTCTATTCTTTCAGCTTTAATTGGGTAGATACAAGTAGCAATTATAAAGGGAGACGATCCTGCCTATTTCACACACGGTTCAATTTCCCTAGTTAAGGAGATCCCATCAGTGCACTCGCTTTTCACTCGCGTTGTGTGAACCCTCTGCATTTTGTTAAATTGCTGAAACCCGTAGTGCCCTTCCATGAGGGGTGGCACGGGGGCAGATGCCTGCTCAGTGCTCCACGTGATGACAAAACACCAGTAGCATTAAGAACAGGTCTGGTCCTCCAGACTGAGAGCCACCCATCCTCATCATGATGAACCACAAAATGATTTGGGTTGGAAGGGACCTTAAAGCCCATCCAGTTCCAGCCCCCTGCCCAGTCACCCCATAACACCAGGCTGCCCCCAGCCCCATCCAGCCTGGCCTTGAACCGGCACAGCAGAAGATGCAAATACTGAGAGGAGACTTCAAAAAGAGTGAGGAAAACCTGCCTTGCGATAAATCAGCCTTCCCTACTATGTTGCCAGATGGGAGGCAGAGCCTACAAACACTTCCCCAAAACACTCAGTACCAACCCAACCTCCATTTGATGGCAACCAGTTTGGTGTCGTGCTTCCCATTGGTTTCATGCTTCCATCTCTTGCCTGCATACACATTTACACGTGGCTATATTTAGTGCACATAAAGGTGCAGATATTTATATCTTTTTTACACTGTTAGCAAGGCACATGACTTGTGCATAGACTTTTTCTTTTTTTTTTTTTTTTTTAAATATTTTCAATTCTTTGGCTTGATAAAGGTTTTCCAGGACAGGCTGAGAATATTTTATGAGCGCATGCTGCGACAGCCACAGGACACTTGTGATAGCCCATTCAGAAACGAAGAGTTTTCAGACAGCACAGCTGATGATTACATGTTGGCACCCGATGATTGACTGAGATGCCATGAAGCCCTGGAAAATCAAAGCACCAAAACAGCTTGTGGGAACAAGCAGGCTTACAGCCTGAATGCGCTGAGGTATAATGACAGTAAATTGTGCTGGAGATGAAACACAGAACTTATGGAGATAATAATATGGTCCGGGGTTTACTTCTTGGTGACAGTGAAAATGTAAACTGATTCTCGTTGCTACAGAATTTTAATTGGAAGAAAGTTTAAACATGGAAGAATGGGAAGATTACCCCAGAACACAAAATAAGAATAGCTTATATGATCTACAACTGCCCTCTATCACAAACATTTTAGATAATGGTTTATAAATATTTTAAAAAATAAATATCTGATTTTCAAATATGAAGACTTTATATGTTCTGGCTTTTAAACTGAAACGATTCAGTTTTTATTCACTTCAGAATTTTGTGGTACCAGTAAAACTGTCTAGAGTGGAAAAAAAATACCCAAACGGTTTTCCATTTTATAAATAACTCTCTAAAACAAAGATAAAATTATAGAGTATATTAATATTATTTATTTTTTCATTTATTTCAGCCAAATCAAATTACATAAAACTATTGGTCTTGACTTAGGAGACATCCTTCTCAGAGGGAGACATCAGAGACTCAGAGACTGACAAAACCTTCACGTCCCACTTCATATTTAAGGGCTCCACTCCATTCAGCTCACTCATGTGGAAGTCTTACTTATCTTTAGGTAAAAACATCCCCAGGTTTGATACGTCAACATTAGGTTATTTCATCATAATACTTACCCACTAGTATAGCCCTTAACTGTTGGAAGATCAAATAGGAAGATCTATTTTATCACATGTAATCGTATGTGTGATGTATGTGACTATCGCTGCATATAATTTGCATGCTCTGGGCATCATACTAAGATAAATGAAAATCAGTTACACAGGGAACAAAAATCTGTCTATTTAAATACTTCTCCTCAGGACTGATATTTGGTAATGGGGAACCAGGAAGACATGGTGAAAATACTTCATGGCACTTTGATCCCCACACTGCAAAAGGGCTCCTGTGCATCCCTGAGTGACCCTGAGCATCGCTGCTGTCCCCTCCCACTGACATCTCCTGAAGGGACCTTCAGGGATTATAAAAGCAAAAGGACAATCTGGCCAAATTCTGTGTTTCTTATATATACATGTATACATGTGTACACTTACCTATATGCACCTCATATTGGCATTTTCCTTTTTTTGGACAACTTTACGTATCATTCATTATACAACAAGAAAATAATTTCTTACCTGGGGATATTATATAGAAGAAATCTTTGAACTCATCCATCCAGACCTCTGCCAGGCGCCTGTTGTTCTTGTTGATGACGTGCCCCGTGCCACCAGGGAAGGTGTAAGGTGTTGCTTTGCGGAAAACGTGGCCAACATGCGAGCAGGTGACGATCTCGAGGGAGCCACCACACTGCCAAATCTGAAATCAAAACATGCAGAAAACGTTGACTAAAACCAATATAAAAAAATGTCAAGTTTACAGCATGAAGGACTAACAGGTTAGCAGTTATCTCCTGATTTATTTCCCCGGGTCACAGTTCAACAGGGAATTTCAATCAAAATATTAAGTGTGACAAGCAGGGGCACAATTTGTGATAGCAATCAAAGTGCACAGATTTTAGCTACACCATGAAAGCTTTTGGGAATGGCACACTTGGTTACAGTGACCTAGTGGGTGGTGCCCCTGCCTATGGCCGGGGGGCTGGAACTAGATGATCTTTAAGGTTCCTTCCAGCCCAAGCCATTCTGTGATTCTGTGAATATAAATATACACGAATCCGAGCCTGAGAAAGGTGTAATCCTGCAATGGATGGGTAAGTGTAGGGTACAGATGTTATCTGTGTATTTAAGTTTTGCAGGAATACATAATACTTCAATACTTTAAGAAACAGAACAGAACTCTTAATTCTGTATCCATTCACATACATGCATTTTTAAAGCAAAATTATGTTCATGGCCACCCAAAACGATAGATAAATAAGAGAATTTGATGGCTTCAAGTTGTGAATTCTCCCTTTCCTCTGCTGGAGCCCAGACCTACATTCTGAGTAAGCCCTGTGCCTTCAGTGTGACTGCCCAAAAATAAGCAATCATTTAATCCTGGACTTCAGCACCCTGCTGTTAAATGAAGTAACATATTTTTCTGGCAGCTCGCTGGAGTCTTGGTATGACACACATCAGCTGGTGCATTACCTGCAATCTGTTCTGCAATATCCCGTCTTTCTAGGCTCTGGAAAGAATGAGGGAAGGAACTGCAGAAGGCTGCAGGTCCAGCTTTGCAGAACTAGAGGCATAACATGGGCAGCTGGGTCTTGATGTGTACAACAGGGACAAATGAAGATTTCCACTGGGTGCCAGCAGGGTTACAAAACCTTGTTGCTCTGCCAGACAACGTCGATTCCTTGGGATTTGCTCTGCACCAAGGTTTGTTGACATTTTTTGGCATCAACAAAGGTTATTACCAACTGCCCGGTTCACTATTTAGGCTCATCCCACCCTTCACTTTGCTCTCTGCCTAAGCAGAGAGCTGGACCAAAATTTCCAGTACCTCCTCCTAATGAAAAGCAGAGTTTAAGAACCATTTGGTGTCTTAAGAACGCTGGTACAGGCTTGTAATTAGAGCTCCTTGACACAGACATAACAGTTACCATAGTAACTTAATGCAGATTTTATTTAATTAGGGCTAGATCCTTTTATATAATTTCATTAGCATGCTAAGTGATGTACTCCGCTGGGATAAGCAATGACAACATCAAAATATTCTTGTGTTTAACATCTCGTGTTTTGCAGCTCAGTGACAACCAGTCAGTTCAGGTGAAACTTCAAGTTGATGGATGCCAAGGAACATACGGCTGCCCCAAAAAGGGAACGCATTAAAACCGAAATACACGCTGCTAACGTACCACAGCACCACGGCACTCACCCTCCAGACAGGCCAGGAACGAGCACAAACAGCTGTGGGTGCACTGTAACCCCCTGTCCCCACCTGAGGATCGGCGTTCCCGCAGGTCCCCCCAGCGCCCTCCTCGGCAGGAAATTCCTCCCACGCTAACACATTGAAACGTGTGTTCCTCTAGGCTTTTAAAGCACATTTTTGGCTGCCCTCGGTACAATCTGCTATTTATTACAGTTGCCATAGGAATGCAGATAAACCTGCACGGTGTTCAGAAGAGGAGGACTTCCATCTTTTCAATATCAAGAAGAAAAACCTTTCCTGAATGCTCACTGGTGAAATAATGACTACTTTCCAGAAGTTCCTATATCACGGCTGGAGACTGTGGGATTGCATAGATTTGAGCACAATATAGGCAAGATTTACGATGGTATATATTTGATTACACTTCGTCGCAAGTACCTTGAGTACCAAAACTGTCCCTAACACTTTGACATCGAGGAGCTACTTGTGGACACCACCTCAGGTCAGGTATCCAATTCCTATCCAATTCCTGACCACAAATATTTTGGTACAAGACTGATGTATGGCATTTAAATAAAAAGGGAAAAAAAAAAAAAGTTATAATTCTAATTTTCATACTAAACTATTCATAAACTGGTTGTTGTCACGTCATCAGTTTTTGAGACTTCTTCCTCCCTCTATGAGTCTGAGAATTTAAACAGCCTTAAAAATTCATCACCAAGGTTCTTTCTTCCCTTGGAAATTTCTAGCTCATGAGCTCTTGCCTCACAACTGCTGTCTCCATCACTGCATCCTCGCTGCAGGACCTCTCTCCTCCTGTACCCAGTTCACAATCTCCATCTCCTTACACGGCAGATAATTTCCAGAGTGCCACTTGTTGAAATGTGTCAGAGAAGAGAGAAGCTGCCACATAGCCTTGGTCTGGAAAACAAGCTGTCAAACCCACAGCATTTTGTAATTTAGCTTCTGCAAATCCATGCCAGACTAATCTGCTTTCTACTTATCTTTTGGCTTACAAATATTAATTCCTTCAAAATTTGTGGTAAGACACTGCACACTATGGAATTAAACCTATGGCTCATATGTGCCCACATAATTTATCCCTTTTTAAATATGGGCGTTAATTATTTAAAACTACCTTTGTTTTCATAGACCTTTGAAAGTCATCCCTATTATTGCACAAAATGAGCGCATTAAGCTCCATCAGATTGCTTTCTGTTCAGCCTGCTGTCAGGGTTTTTTTTCCCTTCCATCAGTTTTGAACACCAAGGTAAAGTCATTTCCCACAAATCTCAGCACCTGTCAGTCACGAATGTTTAAGGCTACTAACAATCATTTGTATGCAAATAAAAATAACACCGAGGCTTTACTCCAAATATTAAAACAAGTAGAAAAAAAATAATCCTGTGGCTTAGTTTAGGTTTTGCTTATTTTTTTGGTGGCTGCAGTACTTATTATCTACGTACAACCAGGAATGAACCACCACACATGCCTAGTGTTCCTTTGTGGGTGCAGCTCAGCAGCACATTTACAGCAGCTCTGGGACCAGCTTCTCCTTTCTGCCCTGTCCCTCGATGCCAGTGGAGCTGGGGCCCGCCAGGTGCTGGCACAGCTGCTGCAGCAGCAAACCTGCACGGCGCCGGCTGCTGCGCCACCGCTCGCTGCCTCCCTCCTGGGAGCGGGGCTTCCTTGCAACTTCCTTCATGTGCCAGAACATGTAAAACTAACCCTGCAGGAGATAGGCTGCTTTTTGGGGTTGGGATTAAAAGAAAACTCAAAATTTCAGGCTAAAAAGATGTTAAGCATTTGTTTTTGTTGTTCCTATGTTAATGATTTTATTTACTTCACATTAGGAAATAAATATTTACTTACACAAGGGGGATTTTTTGGATTCATTTCCAAATGTGTGCTCACTGATGATAGTATTAGATTAAACCTAGCTTGTATATTCATAGATCGAAGCTATGGCAAAAATCCCCAGTGATTTCTGCAGTCAGAAAGTAAGTTAACACTTGAGCACAGTTACATTACATCAGTTAAACTTGTTGGCTGCTGTGCAGTGATGCATAAGTAATAGTTAGGAAAAAAACCCTGAAAACTCTGATACCCATCTACAAGATCACCCTAATCAAATTAGCTGAGTCGGTGTACCTTGAATATTTTCCCCTACATAAACACCAGAATCATGACATACATAAAAATTAATATGGACCAAAAAAGAGGGGAAATGCTGTATATTTTAGACTTAGGTATACAAATCCTTTGAGTACAATATATGAGCAAACCAGGCTCTTAAAATTAGTGAGCACAGTCCAGCACCTAAGGAATACTGAAAACCACAGAGCTGCACTTTCCACCTGACCGTCTGCCAGGCGATTAGGGATTTATATACCCCAAATTCCACTCAGCCACACAGAAAGTGATTTTCAATGTCACAGCGTACTTGTAGAAGATAAAATAATCTCACATTCACGCAACCTCTCCTGCCTGATGGATGCTGCATCCCATCGTGCCCGTAATTATACAGCACAGGTCTCCCAGTCGCCCAAATCGGCGACTGTGCTAAGAGCGCTTACTTTGACATGTATAACTGCTCTGTTACACCTGTAATTTTGCAATTGAAAGTAGGGGTCTCATGTACCATGGGGCTGGAAATTTGTTATCAGTAGTGTCTTGGTAGCATGTGCATTGGCTTCTTCCAGCCTTGTTTTGCCCTGTTTGGATTTGTTCTAAAAAATTCATAATTTATTTTTCCTCTGATTGACAGATTATTTTCAATAGCCTGTCCGAAGTTATAAAAGCTCCTTTCTGGCTATAAAGTTTTCAGGGCATTTTCTGATCTGGAAAAAAAAACAACACAGAATTTAAGAGAAGATTGAAAATGTACAAAGAATTCTACAAGTTATATATATATATATATATACATACATATATAAAATCTTTAAGAATAAATGATGCCTTCATTAGTGTAATAAAGTTCCAGTCCCCGGCTATAAGAGATTCCTGCCAGGATATTTTTTTTCCAAATTGCTGTTATTAAAAGATATCCTCCAGAAAGGATCGTTACAGACCGCTCAGCAGTGAGCAGCAGCACAGCTAATAGACGCAACATCGATTTGCCCAGGAGTGAGGAAGCTGTACACAGCAGTGCACGTTACCTCGATATTTTACAGGAATTGGGCAGCTGCCCCCAGGACAGCCAGGCAGCCAGCCGGACAGACAGACAGACAGACAGACGGACAGACATCACCTGCCATTACCCCTGCGCTGCCCGTCCAGGCGACAGGGAGAGGAGGAAATCCCTGGGGAAGCCAGGTCTGGCCAGGACTCGGCACCCACGTGCCCCCAGCAATAAGGGGGGCAGGACCCAAGTAATTCTGCAAATCCCTCTGATAATCCCGTCGGGGATAATCCCACCGCCTCTAATTGCCCAGGGAAGAGCTGCAGACGTTGGCTCAGGGTGGCACGTTCCCTGCAGGTGCTTTTTTCAGGCACATTTTTAAATTCTGAGGCCTTGGTACCTTATTGATCAAGCTGTACTTGTTGCACTTGACTACGGGGCTGGTTTCCTTTAAAGACAAAGGCTCCGAATGCTAGGAAACAGCACAGCTCGGCCACCTTCCACAGCAATCCCTGCACTGCAAACATATCACCTCGTTTCCATTCGTGACACCATGTCCTCTCATTAATCCGATGCATGCTTTCCTAGCCAGTAATGTTTCTTGAAGTCTATGGGGAAAACGTGAAGGCACAGCACGTTTTCCAGCAGGATGCCCCAGGAGCTGCTCGGAGGAGCCCGAAGGAGCGAGGGAAAGCTGCTGGCCACAAGGGCAGCTCGCAGCAGCAAGGCCGTCCGCTGAGAGCCTTGCTTCACTGCTCCTGGTCTGCTCACATGTCTGGGGCTGACATTTCTAATTTAAAGCCGAAACAGCTCTCATGACAGCACTCCCACGGAATTTATATAACTTAGGCCAATCACCGGCTTGCTCACAGAAGCATTGAGTAGCTTTCAAATCCAAACCGAAACAGACCTCAAGCAATGATTATTTAGGGAAAAAAAAAATAAGTAACATCTAAAGTAGCAATTACAGAAAAGCCCAGGCAGCAGAACTCCAAGCCACAGCAAAGGCAGCCCCTAGCACAGCCGCTGCAGCTCCCCAGGCCCTGCTGCCACCACGAGCCCCACGGCATTGGGGTTAGGGTCCCGAGGGTGGCAGTGCCCTTCCTGGGTGCATGGGGCCAGCGGTCCTCACCAGCTCCATCCTCCGCACCCAGCCCCACTCCCTCGGCCCCCAGCAGCAACACAGCCTCCGGCAGCACCGCGGGGAAGCAGGAGACAGAAGAACCCAGTGGAACCGCCAGACCTCTCAGGAAAGGTTTTCAGAGTAGGTTAGCATTATTCAGCGAGGGGATGCATTAGGAACGTCCTATTTAGGGCATGTCTCCAGCACAGGCTGCAAGCCGAATACATGCTCACACGCTGCTCTCAGCAGAAGATCAAATGCTTTCTGCCAAGAAGGATCTGTTATGCCAGGGAGTGGGAAAAGACCACGGAATTGTAAATTATTTTATTTTGTTGCATTTGCAGGGCCTGGCTGAAAAATGATCGGTGTTTGTATCTTTGTTAACAAAACCAGCCACTGCCAAAAGGAGCACACAAAGAATCAGTTTCCATATTATCCATCACCCACTCTGACCAAAAATCATCTCGTCTGTCTCTTTGTATTGGAGTCAGTGTTTCAGGGACTACCCTTTTTACAATGAAAACCCAGTGTTCTTCCAAAAAAACAGTTGAATGTTTAGACTAATGAGAATGGGACCCTTCCAAAGGAAAGGCCCAAAACTGCTTCTGTAAAATGTTTTCTGGAAGCAGTAACAAAAACAAATTGCTTCAGGATTCACCTAGTCAGGCTTTTCCATGCATCAGCATTTCTGATTTTTAAAATTTCAGCAAATGAGGTGAACTTCACTTCACAGAAACCATTCGCTGATACTAAGTGAAAAGTGAACAGTACTAACATGCAGATTTAACCTAGGAGAGGCACATATTTAATGCTTTAAAGCAGTGCTATTCACTCTCTGCTTCATGGATCACTTCTAATGACACAAGAAACAAGTCTACTATCCTACAGGCTTAAGTTAAAAATATGTTCCTATACAGAGGCCCACATACATCCAAGGAGCATTTTTAGTAGCCTACATACCAACAAATGTTGATTTGAGACATTAACACTCAGAAGAAGTCTCTCTACTTTTCTATTTTACTGGAAAGTGAACCCTGTATAGTTAATAGAAAATGGCCTGAAAATGCTTTCAAATTCTCAGTTGACCTCGTCTAGAAATATCTGTTTGACAAAACTCTTCAAAGTTGTCTCTGTCAATAGAAAATATTCCACCAACCCCTGGCTGAAGACAGAAGAGGAACAAAAATAAAAAGGAAAGAAGAATATATCCATGCTGCTCTATGGGCTGTAGATAGGTATAACAGGTTTTATTTTGCATACTTACTTAAAATGCAAAAACTGTGAAACATCAGAGATATTAAGAGTCATTTTCAACATCCTTTCTAAAAATGATTTACTAAAGATTCAGTCTTCCAATTTTCATTTATGCCTTGAGGACAATTACTAAATGCATTTCATTCAATGAGATTTTCATCTTCTCACGGACAGCACACCTATCCCTGGTAGAAATACAGCCACTTCTCTGCAGGATGTGAAATTTCTCTGTGTGCTCGGATCCCATACAGAATAAAAATCCCAGCCAGAACTTGCAAGTTCATGACAGCATACACTTTCAAAAGCTTCTGTTAAAACATATATTTGATTTTTCTTTTTTTAACTATACACATTTATACTTTCTTTATGTCAGTTAGCATTTGCACTATCTCACAGAACGCCTTGCTTCTTTCATACAAAAGGATCTTACTAAAATATTTATCATCTCAGAAGTGTAGAGTAAAAGTTTCCAAACAGTAATAAAACGTTTCATGCAGTTAAAAGGACTGAATGCTATAATGAGGCATCCCCAAACATCTTCAGAATTAAAATTAACCCATGACTTGCATGACAGCTAAAACACAATCGCCCTATCTGCAGCGTAGCAACTGTTACAGCAAAACCGTGTTCGTCGACAGAAAATGAAGGAAAACGGCAATTACCCTAAAAGACATTTCAAGATTCTCGCCACCCCAGATATCCATTCCTGCATCGTAAGTTCCTATCTCTTCAAAGTAGTTTCTGTCAATAGAAAATAGGCCACCAGCCATAGTAGGGGTCCTAGTTGAAAACAAACAGAAAAGAAAAAAAAAAAAAAAGAGGAAAAAAAAGAAAAGAAAAGAAAAAATACCTTTTGAAAGACACTGTGGAATTTATCACGTGATACTACAGCACACATCTCCCCAGACATTTTGACTGTAAATATATGCTATGCACAGACATAAGAGCCCCCCCGGCGCCAGCGAGAGCGCTGCCCAAGCACGAGCGGCCGGGCTGCCCCCGCGCAGCCTTGCAATGGTAAAGTGGATGGAATTGGGCCTGCTGCACCCCGAACAGCAGCGTAAATCCAATCGGAAATGCTTAGCGCAGAGAGTTTAATGCCTCAGCTTTGCCTTAGAGGGAGACTAAATGTGCATAAAATTACCAGGCATAATCTCTCTTAACAGGATTATAAATCCTTACAACAGGCAAATCCAGTCAGAGTGCAACTTCCCTTCGTGTAAAGATGTCCTACTTCCCTGTAAATATCTGCTCTACGTGTTTGGGGGCTTTTTTTAGCGCTCAGTGCCCGCACTGGAGGAAGACTGTTCCTTGGAGCCGGCAGGAGCACAGCCCCGTGCCCCTGCCCCAGCCTGGACCCCAGCCTGGCCCCCGGCCCCCAGCCTGTGCCGGCAGACCCCCAGCACCCTGGGGAGGCCAAAGGGCTGCTCCTGGCGTGGGCTGGGAGCCACAATCCTGCCAGCACGGCTGCCCACTGCTGAGGGAGGCCTAAGGCTGCCCCAGTGCCTACGGGTATCCACACACGTACACATGCCGGTAGCTGCGGCCTGCAGCTGTTAATGAAGGACTCGGTCACAGAAACGCACTTATTTACTCCATGATCTTATTTAGGGAATTGCTTGTGCATTCTGCTAGGAATAGATGCTATTCGGTGGTCAGCACAGACCTCTCTCTGCCCCCTGGCCCTGCGCAGGGGCAGCGTGAGCAGCACTTCTGCCCTACAGCACAGCATCCACCGGCGTTGATGTGTTTGGGGACAGCCTTATGCAAACGCCATCCCAGAATTTTTCCAAAAAACGAGTCAACACCAACAAGAATTGCTCGTGTGCACTTCTGGAAAACGCAGTAAAATTGGAAAGCAGCCTGCAGTCAGCAGCAGAGGCAGGGGCAGAGCGGGGCGAGCTGGCACCCCGCAGGCCGCGTGCTGCAGGGCCATGGGGCACAGCCGGGCCGCGAGCAGCTCCCGCTCACCCCCAGACCTCGGTCAGGGCAATTTGTCTGCTGAGCAATTATCTTCCAGCTGCCTATCGCTACTGCCACTAAAAAAAAATACAAAAATAATAATAATAAAAAAAGAAAGCACAGTTTAACAACACTGCAGTTACCCACACTTTGTTTCTATTTTTCTCCCTGGGCTCTCAGCACCCACAGCTCAGTTAATTAGCCAGCTGGCATTAGGACACAGCTGAACCCTTGTAGGCTTCAAAGCTGCTTCACTGCCCTCACCTCACCCACTGAGATGGCAAATGCCACTGGTGTGGCACAAGTAAAGCCATCCCCGCTGCTCTGGGACTGAAACCCACAGCCTGTGCCCCCTGTCCTTCCCCTTCCTCCCTTCAGTTCCTTCCCTGGAGGAAGGCAGTTTGCTCGAATACCGTCAACTTTTCCATTCTTGCAAAGATTCAACGTAAATGATTTTTGAATGATGCAATTGAGTTGTACATCAAGATCAGGATCCTTCTGAAATGCCATAGGCAAAAGTTTATGAAAAATAAAAATGCGTTCCCCTAACTACTTGCTAACTGAAATCGAAAGTGCTGAATTTCAGGCTGTAAAAATGTAACTCTGTACCAATCTATGCCACAGATTCTTAAATAACTGGAATGTAGCAGGCAGGACTATTCTCTGCTATGTAAATTTAATGTTGCATAAACAGATCTGCAGAGCTCTCACTGTAAAAACAGCTGAAACAGTAATTTTAGCAAGAGGCAGGGTTTCTACATTTTTTCTCAGCTTTTTGCTTATTAGCTATATTTTGCCTACTTGGAGTCATACTAGCAACTACAGTAATATGTTATGATTAATGCTAATCATCATTCAAACCCACTTCTCATTTCATTTTGGAGATACGGTCTGCTTTTCATTTCTGTAACTGTTGGCAGCAAGCAGGATTCCCGTTCCTGTACCTACATCTCTAACTTCACAGAAAGAGAGCAGTGCAGCAGAAGGGGTTTTAACAGCTCTGGTTTTGCAGCATCCCAAAGATGCCCTCCCAAAGCCAGCTCGAGCAGCCCCAAGGGGACTCCAGACCATGCTGCAGCCAGGGGAGCTGGGCCCACAGCCACCTGCCATCACCTCCCCTAAGCCCTGCACCCTGCACATCAGCTCAGCATGGTCCAAAGTCATGCCTCTAAGTGCACGTCTGTACCATGGTCAGGGCTCAACCTCTGCTCAATGAAGCCATCGGGTGCAGGAATGGTCCTCAAGCGCTGGTGGGCAAGGCCCTTGCTTCCTGCTGATCAGTTCAGCATTAGTCCTAACTAAATGAAGGGCAAGTATGGAAATACCCACAGAAACATGCTGTGGTTCTGATACTGCGGATGTAAGACGAGATGTTTGCAAATTGACCACGGCACAGGCAGTTTTCTAGTGCCCCTGGCAAAATTATGGAAGGAGCAATGAGTTCACTTATTGACAAAACACGTACAAATATTGGCCAAGGATTTTTCAGTGGAAAAAGAGGAAGGTAATAATGAAAGCTTTAACAAGACCATTGCGTTTCGCTGGCACTCTCCACGACCAGTTACCACTGGATGGGAGATGGGCCACACCTGAGACCTGATTGCATTGCCCAGGACTCTGTTTTAGTAATTCTCCGATCTACCCACACCCACCTGAGCACCTGCAGGAAGCACCTTTACTGCATGGCTGTCTAGGGCCAAAATGCCCTATCTAGGGCTAACCCCAAGAACTGCTCCCCGGGCAGCGAGCAGGGTGTTATGCTGGAGCCAGGCTCGGGGCCAGGGACATCGAGGAGCTGCTGGGGGCAGAGCTCTGGCTGCCAGCTCCCCCTGTGCTCAGGGCAGCCACCCAGGTCCTGCTCCCAGACAGCCCTCTGGGAACAGAAGCCAGATTTGCACTTAAATAACAGATTTTGAAAAGGCCTAATCATTTATAAAGTGTGCAAAGCCAGAGGTTACTCCCGTGACAATTGCTGGGAGCAACTGCATTTACTTTGCATGGAAACAAGATCAAACCCTTGAGGTACTTTAAAACAGCAGGGAACAGAATTCACTATTCAAACCAAAGGGCCTGGGTTATATCGGCCCACAGACGTGAGCCCTGAGGGGTGCTGTACCGTCAGAGTACAAAACGCACCTTGCAGCACCACCTTGGAAGCATCCCAAGCTCTCTGGCTCAGGTAATGTTTGCTCTCAAAGCCAAAGATTGCACTTGATTTCTGCAATGCGCCTCACAGAATGAAGTATTTGTCTTCAACAGCCCTGTCTCTAGGACCAATTTTTTCTTCAGGTATTTCTTCCAAATATTTCCACCTCTTATTCTCACTTTATGGTCTTGGTCCTAGCAAAGATATTGCACTGACTGAAAGCTCCCTGATATTCTTTCTATTGCTTCTGATCATTATACATGTAAAAAAAAAATGTAATTACATTAAAAAAAATAAACAAGGATGGAAATGCCATTACCTAATGACCACTGACTCCTACTCCTCCTGCTGGGGGCACTGAGAGGGCTCCGCACCATCAGTGTTGCCGCCCCTCACCTACCACTTGTAAACGGGAGCATCTGCAACCTGGAAACGCTTTTGATACCTTCACAAAACTGTGATTCTTTGGGGAAAGGTTACCCGCTTCGACAGCTCTGGGAAAGGTTACGCTGTCACGGTGTTAGCTGACCTGACAGAACGCTAGCTAAAGGAAGAAGAACACGAAAGCAAGGAAAAGGATGTTAAGTGAGTGCTTAAGAATCAAAAGAAGAAAATAAGGGGGGGAAAGTGCTACGGGCTCACGTGTAAAGCCCAGCAGCTGCAATAGTGTACGTGCGTGTACCTACACCAGAACCCGTTTTGTCCACGGCAAAGCACTGCTAATTAGTATGGGAGGCACCTACGCATCTCACCGTTCTGTTTGCTAAAAATATGACAAACAGCCCAACTTTTCTAATAGATTCCAGTAAGAAAGTTCTTCCACAGCTGTACTGCATGACAATTAGCTGTAGGGCTTGAACATCCGAGTCACTGAATTAATTAACCTTTTCCCATCAATTCCAGAGATTCCAGCAAGGATGGATGTTGCAGTTGACTCAAACACCTAACTTACGACTTTAACCATTTCTTTAATTCCATAAAACAAACAAGCAAGCTGTGTTTCACACCCACTAGCTAGAAAGAACCTGGTACCTTCTGGGAACACCTCATGGTCTACATTTAACTTAGCACTGGGATTAGTGGTCACAGGGTACCGGATGGCTGAGCGCTGTCCATACCAACTAGTGATCTCTCAGCAGCAAGCTATTCTGGTCTTTGTCATAAAAATGTATATACAATAATAAACATTACACCCAAACAGTGAATCCTATATAAAATAATTCAAAGAGCCACAGAGGGGTTGGGGTCAGAAGAGACCTCAAAGCGCACCTGGAGCCAACCCTGCCATGGGCAGGGACCTCCCCCAACCCAGGCTGCCCAAATCCCACCTCGGGGCAGCCTGGGCCATGGCCTCACTGCCCTCATAGTTTGAAAATGCATACAGTGTGATATTAAATCTAAAAAGGAATGGTAGGAATTTATCAATGGTATTATGAAAGGTAAAAATTTTAGTAATTTTTCCAACTACATGGCTTTTTTAGTGTAACAAAAAGTGTAATTTGAGTGCAATGATTATATTATGCATATGCACAAACTAACATGCAAGCCAACAATTTTTATGTACTCTATGCTCATTCCATTGATTACAAATTAAAAATATGCATGCATACATATTCAATATATGTAAGACTAACATAATGTTACAGAATGGTGAAAGCAACATAAAACAAACAAAAAAAATGAAGCCATCAATTTGTTTCGAAATTTGTGGTGTGGGTTACACTTTTCTTTCTTTTCAGCCTCTCAATTCTTGAATAGTCAGGTAGCAGCGGTTGCCAAAAACGTCCTGAACTTAGCTGAAATATTACACCTTTTCTCCTGGGATGCTGAATTTGCTATTGTGTTTGACACCTTGAGACTGATTTACTGCTACAATCTCTGGGACTGCTTTTGATAAGCATTTGCAGATAGCAGCTAGCACTGCAAGCAGCTGATGACCTACTGACTGCTTATTTCCTAGATGAAGTCTGTTTCACCTCTGCCCAGTTTCCACCAGCTGCCGGTGTTTCCAGATGAAATCTCACATCCCAGTTTTGACTCGGAAGGATGAACTCAGAAGGTTTGGGGATGGCAAGGGTTTTGTACCATAACAGAGATGCTTGGATGATCTGTTTGGGTCCCCAGTCTCCCTGGTCAAGTGAGAGGGATGCATTTGCCTTCACTTCTCATTTCCTGCATCCATAAGATGCTGGAGCAGGGCAGCTTCAGCTGCTTCTCGGGTTCCCCTCCCACCAGGTAAAATGGGAGATGACATGGGCAGTAGGGAGCATCTTATGCCAATACAGAAGAGACCAAAATTTCTCCCCTAGGTGGCCAGAAAGGGCATCTGTGTCGAAAAGCTAACAATTTGTGCCTCAGCCAGCACAATTACACACCCCTGGAGCTATCGCTTTGCTCTGAAACACTTGTCAAAGGGATAATTATGGAACATGTTGCACTTGTCATTAACCTCTGGCTCCTTCACCCCCCACTCTGCTCACTAACACCCATCTTTACCAGGAGGAGTCCCAAAACACACAAGCAATCACCAGCTACAAGCTGGCAGGGAAAAAAAATGAAAAGCTGCTTTTTCTGTTTGCTTGTTTTAGTAACTTTAAAAGCCAATTACATGTATGGTTCTGGATTAACTTTAAGTACTCCTTTATTTCAAAATAAGGAAATATGGACTTGGATTTGCATTTCTTTGAAAACTCCCTGTGTCTGTGAATGGATCCGACACGGGAGAGACAGAAACTAGCGCAAGGCGAAGGACGCGAGGGGAGCAGCAGCCAGCGAGGCGTGAGGCTGCGCAGCTCGTTAGGATAATGAACTCCACGAATTTTAACGCACACCTCAGCTGTAATGAAATAGCTTCTGGCACAGCTGACTGAAATAGCTGACTTCACAGCTGGCTGATAAAATTTTAGATCACGAGAAAAACAGTTCTTTTGACTCAAAAATCAGTTCTGTCACCCTTCTGCTAACAACAGGGTCCGCTTCTGCTCCCTGGGGCACCGCTTGCATTTACAGCCACCCCACGGACTCCAGCACAGCTCTGCTCCCTGCCCACCCTGCGTTTCCCAAGGGTTTTACACTCAAACAAGGCACTGACAAACACGCATTTGGGAAATCGGGCACAACTGGCCCAGAGAGGGTGAGAAACCCAGACCACAACCCAGTGGCAGATGCCCTGCTGAGACCTTCCCTCGACACAGAGCTGACGCGGGTCCTGGTCTGACCCATCGGAGCCCAGAAGGAAGGGATGTGTGAGGTGGGAGCTGGGGAAGGGCTGAGATGCCCGGGGAGCTGCCCAGAGCAGCCCACGCTGGGAGCAGACACGGCCCCAAAGCCTCCTGCGGCTTCCTCCCTTCTGCCTGTGCACGAGCATCTACTGCTTCCAAGTACCAGACTCAGCGGTGAGGCACAGCTTTCCTCTTTAGCTGGGTAAAGAGGAAAACAAGGTGGTTCCTCAGATGGCTTCCTGAGAAAGAAATCTAAAAAATGCAGCGCTTCCCTGACTCCAGGCTTTGAAGGACATAAAATGACAGATTTTGGCCATCTGCAGCATAAGTAGCTTTGAAAAGCTTTTCTTCGCCCACCCACTGCCTTACCTGGATTCTTTTTTTGCAAAGCTTTGCTGTGAGCTGCTGTCCCCTGAGTTGGCTCTCTCTTTATCTGCCTGTTGCCCACAACTGGGGGTATGCAGGACTGAAATTCTTTCCACTTCATCATGTCTCTTAGACAGGTTTGAAACCATTACATCCACTTGTGAGAGCTTTTTTTTTTTTTCTTTTAATTTTATTTTTATTTTTTATTTTAGTTTTCATGAAGACCGAAGAAGCTATTAGAGCTGAGCAAATAACCCATGGCAAGTAATTTATTCAATTTGTTTGGTTTCAACTTCATTTAAAATTTTTCTCAAGGTTTTGCTACAGACTTGGTTTGAGCAATTAAATGAAGGAGGTTAGGAAGGATCAGAGGAATTCTGGACATATACTTAGGTCAGTTTTGACTGGGTGTGCACTGTCATCAGTTTTATTTTCTAGGCAACAGAAGCATATCTTTTAAGAAGTGCAGATTATCATAACCAAATCAGGTTAAACATTCAAAAATTTGCTTTTCAGAAATATGTTGTAATATTTATTTTAAATTATGAAAACAGTAATAACTGTAAACATAAGTTCAACGAGGCTATTGGCAGAAAACAAACATACAGGGAACTTCAATACTTATATAGCTGGTATTAGTTTGAATTATTAAATGTTCAAAAGAAAATGTAATGAGTTTTCTCAGCTCTGATAACCACCTTTCAGCATTAAGGCTAGGTCAGGTGTTGGTGTTTTCTGCCCTGAACAGTGTGCCGCAGCTATCTGACATGTACAGTATCTGATACTGCAGCAAAATCTTAAGTATTAAATGTTATTATCTGCATGGACAAGCTAGAGAAGAGTCAAATGTGCAGTATTCTTGGTTCACTCTCCTTACCTTACAGGCAAGGTCCTGTCCCCTTTCCTCCTGTCCATCTCTCTCTGGGGAACTGGATACCAGCGGAAATTGAGTTTCCAGTTAAATCCCCCGTAAGTCATGTCCGACCCAGCCATGTACTCAAATGTGTCATCGCTGATCACATCGATGATTGGGCACACAACAGTTTTCCTGTAAGAAAACAGAATGGCTTTAAAACCAAACTCTTTTTTTTCTGAATATCCCATGGTTTTACGTTGAGGCTCCTGCGCACAAAAGCCAATTTACCACGGTTCCAGCTTCTCTTCCACAAATGAGGTTGTGCAAACTTCACGTTTTCTGTGGGCAGCAGCTTTTTGGGGATGTTGATTCCTGCTGAGCTCCCAAAAACTGAAACCTGCCCACTCCTAACCCTGCCTGGGGCCTCCTGCTCGTCAGCCAAATCCTCTCCGCATGGCAGGAGTGACTGCCACACACCTCACCCCTGCAGCACGAACCATTCAGTGCTGGCAAATTCTCCTCCTTACTTCTTACTTACGTGTAACAGTTCTCCCCACGTACCTCTCCTCTTTTCTAACACTGGCACTGGTGAGATAGACACAGGAATATTTCTGCTTGGGGCTGCAGGACTCGAGCAGGGCTGGTTTTACCATACCCATGTGCCCATGCCTCATGGAGCACACGCAGCACACCTTTGGTACATGAGAACAAAGCCCACCTCCTGTGTCTGCAGGCATGCACGAGCAGGAAAAAGAAAAGATAAGCAAATTTCAGAGACTATGGGAGGTCACAGGGACAAGAAGAAGCACAGGGTGAGAAGAGGGGAGAAAGATGGGCTACGACCACTGCAACAGAAATCTGCTCTAAGAATCAAAAGCTTATCATATATTTAGAATGAGATTTAGACATAAATGTTACAGAATACTATATCTTTCTCTTAAATCTTTTAAAATCTTCTTTTTCAGCTCACTGCATTTTTCTCATTTTTACTTTGTTTTTATTATTATTAATTTTTTTTTTTAGCTGCACAGCAATCAAGGAAGAGCCTGGAGCCCCAGCTGAGGCTGGAGGCATGTTCCCTGCACCCAGCCACCCGAGAGCCACCTCACCTGTCCTCCTTTATCCTGGCCAGCAGCGGCTCGAGCCAGCCCAGGGTGCACTCGCAGTGCGCGTCCAGGAAGGTTATCACCTGCCCCGTGGAGGCTGCTGCCCCCCGCAGCCGTGCGCGGATCAGTCCTGACCTCTGCTCCATCCGAATGATTTTTATGGAGACTTCCAGCTTTTTCACGTAATTCTCTAGTGAGGTCTTCAAAAATTCTGCCAAAGATAATTGAAAAAAAGAAAAGACCAAAAACCACATTATTTTAGCTGGGTTCAGCAACTCCTGAGGACTCCAAATCTACCTGCAGAGTGTCTGTGTTGTGCTCAGCCGTCCAAGGGCTGCCGTGCATGAGCGCTGCCATAACCCAGGAAATGCATTTGGACACATTTATAGTTTATCTGAAGACCAAGAGCAGAGCTACAGAGGTTCATACTGCAACTTGGTTCAACGCAGCCATGGAAAACAGTCTGTGCAGACACACATAATTATCCCAGCACCTCATGGCAACATCACAGAAAAAAAGATTTTTAAGTAAGTCACAATCAGTTTTCTAGAAATAAGTCAACAATCAATACTGAGTGTAAAATGATTACGCTTTGCTACAGCTAAATACAAATATTTGATGAATTTCACCATTTGAACCCTCTAGAACTCCTAAATTTGTTGCTTTTAGAAAAATTACTTGGTCTTGCACAAGGTGAAGATGTTTACGGTTCCATCCATTCCATTTACAGGATACAATTCCATTTCCAGATAATATCAGTTTCACATTTCACAGCTTTATTTCTAAGCACCGATTTAAAAATAAGGTTACATTAAATTAAAAGGGACAACACCAAAAGAAATGAGCCGCAAATACCAGCTTATCAATAGGGCAGTAGAAGGAAATTGGCTCAGCCTGGACATTCAGTAAAACCTGAAGCACAGCACAGGGCTCCTGAGAGACAGCGAGGGAGAGACAAAAAGAGAGAGATGGAGAAGGATTCTGCTGTTCGCAGCAACGTGAAATGAGAAACCATAGTGCAAAACAGGACTAATGAAATTCTGGCTAGGAGCACCACACACAGCCTTCCAGCCTGATAACCAACCTTCGTCTCTGTTACTATCTGAAATTGTATTTTAGCTCTTGCCTATCGATGCAATGGTGCAGCATCCCCAAACGGCGCTACAAGGACACGGGAAGTGCAACTCCTCCCCGCAAACACCCACCTCTCTCGCTGGCATCATCGACCAGGATGATTTCAGCAAGCAGGTGATGAGGCGAGCGGTTTATAACGCTGTACACCGTCCGAAGCAAAGTGCTCCAGGCTTCGTTGTGGAACACGATGACTACGCTTGTGTTCGGGAGCTCGTCAGGGTAGACTTTTGTCTTGCACCTGCCAACACATACAGAAAAAATAGATAGAAAGGGTGAAGTTAATCTTTAACAAAATCCTAAGGAGCTCTATCAACAGGAAAGTCTCAAGGAAAAGGGGCTCTAAGCCTGTTGAACAGGATATATTGCAAACCAGCTTCTGATCTCTTCATGCTCCCAAGGGAGAAGACCAAGAGGCAAAGGGACTTGTAAATTCTGTTTTCTTGCTAAGAATGCGTGGAGAAGCCCCCAGAGGTGGGGCACCACTGCACGCACTGCCCACGGAGACACAGGGCTCCTCGCTCCCACGTGTTTCTGCACCCAGAAATCAGCATCCGGAGCCACAGCCTGAGCACTTCTGGCACCTCAAATGAAAAAACTGGCTGCACACAAGACGAGGTGCAATTAACATACAGCATATCAAGCAGATAACAGTTAGGCTAAGTAAGCCTTTTATTGTGACAAATCCCAAATCCTATGATTTCAGGTGCACACACCTCCGAGACCTTCCCATTATCAGTTGCTTCTTGAAAAGAAGAAAAAAATTCCTATTTTCCAGAACCCTCTGTATGCCCATTCAGTGCAAGAACAAGTGGCGAAGTATCTCACCTATTTTCTGAAACTGCAGAAATCAAGGCAAAGTGAACAACAGATACCAAACACAGCTGATTTTATGAATGCACATTAGAGTTATTTGCTTCCTACTAAAGTCAATCCAGAAATCTGTTTATTCTCTCCAGATCTGACACGTTTCAAAAATACAAGCATACCTCCATCCATCTGTCAGCACAGGTCAAATCTATTTAAACACACTCAGTATGGACTGTTAACCATGGTGACTTAAAATAGTTTCCACTACTTTATTTTTTATTTTTTGATATTTCATTGTTTTAGGATTTTCTAGCTCTAACCATGATATTATTACCATGCTCCTAACGCAGGAAGGCACTTCCAGCACAGATAGGTAAGCGTGTATTTGCTTTCTTCAGCAGAGGCATACACACACTAGTGAATTAACCTGTACATGAAGGACGAATCAACTATGTATGGATTTTAGTGCATATTCTTCATAATACCGCAAATTCAAAACTTCACCAAAAAAATCTAAATTAATGAATTATTTACTAGCATTTACATACTCTGCATTCTCTGTGACACAAGCACAGTGTTATCACTTTTATCTATATTATTTGGAAAATCAACCAGTCCAGCAAATGCAATACTTCCTTAGGAGAAGCCTCCTTAGCACATCAAACTTCTGTATGAAGAGCCATGAAACAAATGGCTAAGATCCCTAAAGAAAACTCAGCTTGTCCATAAAGTTTCTTTCATAAACATCACCTACCATAACAAAACTCTCTTTAAGCTTTTCTTCTGCCTCATTGCCATTAAAATGGGGCTAACAGTAGCTATCCACATATATATAAGCACATATATATGTGTGCACACGTACGTAACAGTCTTGACATCCTTTTGATGAGCACCACCGGAGTTTGCTTGTAAGCATCCCACCTTTGCAACTTCAGCCACCCGATTAATTATATGTCTAGACATCAGCTATGATTTAGATTCAAAGTTCACATTAAAAAAGTTTGTAACTCATTAACCTCCACGTCCACTGAGGTGTCTAAGAGTGCAAGCTTAGCGGAACAATGTGTCCAAACCCAGACATTTTGAATTTATTTATTCCCAAAGCACACTGAAAGGGCATATACAAAGCTGGCATAAGCCTGATTGGCCCATATTTCACAACTAATCATTTTAATTACATTTAAAACAGATACAATTTTGGAAATTGGAAGAGATATGTTACATAAGATCAGTGTTTAAAAATGTTCAGAAATATTCACCAGCAGTGAAACGACAAGAAGAGAAGGAACAGATCCCTCCTTGTTTGCAGCTTAACGCTAATTTGGTAGGACAAGTGGAATATTAAGGAACAGAATGTTTGTCATCAGGTAGTGTTTGCCAAGATCTCCAGAATTTTAGCCATCGTTCTGGTTATTCTCCAAGGTACGTGAGGGTACCCAGAGAAGCAAAGAGCTAGGTAAGTTCAGGACATTTTTCAAGAGGTTGCATGTCCTGCGTTTTGCAGCAGAGCCATCTAGATGATAACAAATCTTGCCCTGAAAGCCTGGGAGCAGCATCCTTACTGCACGTCCTTCAGAGCTTCCACAGTGACCACATGAGGTAACGCACCATGAAGGCAGGAATCCCTCTCCTGGCACTACCGAGGGCTCTCTGCACGCCCCTCCTTAGTCTCTCAGACAATTACACGGTGGGATTATCCTCCCTGGAGGAGGATTATTCCATTTCCAAACGAGTTCATTCTGGCGGGATGCTATGTATAGTTGCTCAGCTACATCAAGTGATGAACTGGGATTTGTTGATATCTGGGCTGCTCATCAGAGCCTAAATTAAACCCATACACTTTGTTTAATTTGGGTCATTTGCTTTCAGTAGAAAATGTAAATGCCGGTACTTTGTCTGCATTATAGCATAAAATCCATATTTCATTAGATGTTATTGCAGCACTTAACCTGCCCAGAGCAGCCCTGAGCCCAGCCTCGGCGGCGCAGCGGGCCCCGCGCTGACCTCCACCCACAACACGCAGCAAACCCAGGAATCATGAAAACCGGGGCTCTGCAGCGAGTTTAACTTCCTCCTGCTTTCTGGGAGCTTCTGGAAAGCTTTCTGGGAGCTTTTTGGGAGCTTACACGGCACCTCTGTCATGTAAGGCAGAGGCCAGGGGCAAGGCATCGCCCAGGCAGTAATGCTGTGAGCAAAGGTAAATTTGGGGGTTGTCCATGTTTGTGCTCTAGCTATCAGAAAGGGTTTTGTACACATTTTTTGGGCTCCCTCCAAGTCTTTGAACATCACAGATTTTGACAGCCTAAGTTATTGAGGCCATCTGATGATGCCAGCCACTTTGGCTCCAAGAAAAACATGAAGCACCATGGCATAGCAATATCTTACGCTCACCTTAAAGACCTGAGTGCTGCAGGGCAGTACTGATGCTGCTGCCATCCCATGCCCTTCCCCAGGACAGCTTCATCCCCGCCAGTCCCCGTCCCACCCCTGCCGCACACCTCTGCTGGTGTTCCAGCCAGCACACACCCGCTGAGCACCCTGCTCACACGGAGCTGTTTGTAAGCGCAGGGAGGATAAAAACCTTCCACTTCCCGTTACCGAAATAATTACAGTGACTCACGCTGCATTTTTTCTACTTCAAAAATACACCGCGCACTGACGAAGTGATAAATAAGTCATCTGCTCCTCACACAGCTATCAAACACAAGGACTCCTGCTTTGCCTCCCCTCCGTTATTTACAATGCGTGCTGATTGTTCAACATGCACCAACACTGGAAACACGTTCCCAGAAACATTGGTTTTTCTCATGCAGTCATCAGATGTTACTTTATGAATACACATGAAGTAAATACAGCTGTTTAAATGCGAGAAAAACACATTTTTCAAGATCAATAACATGGAAACAGAGTGAGACTCTATTTACCATCTTTCCCGTTGGCAAATTACGTGCACATGAAGGGCTGCGCTGTGATTTTCTCTCTTGCAGAATTGTACCGAGGCTCTCAGGAAGCAACTCAAGACAGAAAGTCATGCAGAAAAGCAAAAATACTTGGAGGAAAAAAATGAGAATATAACTATTATATACAACTTGTTATGTAGTATTTTTGATATGATGCATTGGGGAACAAAGAACTATGTTAAATATATCTGGTTTATACGGCCTCGGGGGATTTTCATGATTATTTAGTCATTACCTTCTGGTGCTTTGCATCAGTGAAAATGCAAAACATGAAAACGCAAAGGAAAGGCTTGTCATGCTGAACACTGGCACGATCCCTCTTGCTGCAGCTGTGCCACGCCGAGCCAGCCCAGCCCTGCCGACCACCCTGCTGCAGGACCGTGGCCACCGCGGTGCCACCAGCACCAGCGCACGCAGCCTCTCTGGGAGCACAGCAGCAGGATGCGCCCTCGCGGCTCCGTCCCCATCAGTGGTGAGGCAGGGCAGCTGTCTCACACAGCTCAGGGACAGGTTAGGAAAGAGAAACAGGAGGCAGCCCAGGAATCAGGGATATAGAGGGGTTATCGGCCCGATACAGCACGGGGATCCCGGATTGCAGGCGCAGGCAGACCGAGCATCCAGCAGCAGTGCATGCCGCAGGCTGAGGTAATAGGAAGAGAAGAAGGATGAATGCACCACTTCCCGGTGCTGAATTAATAAACCCTTGGCTTGCCACACGGTGCAGCCTCCGTCCATTTTTAATTCAGATCCATGTTCTCATTAATACTACATGCGCAACTTTTCATCCAGGTATCCAGCATGCGTTTATTTGTACCACCACGTACGGACACACCTATGCAGATATGAAGAGGACTTGAACAGTGCCCATTAAACCCCAGCTGTGACCGACCTGCCAGGTGCTCGCAGGGGTTCAGCAAGGTGGGTGGACGAGGCAGAGCTCTCCTGACACCCCTCGGACAGCCCTGCCACACACACCTCTTCCCCTTGCAGCTCTCCACAGCCACCACCTTATTGCAGCCCATCTCCTGAGCCTCCCTGCAGCTCATGCAACCACAAGCCATCAGTTCATCCAGGGCAGCCATCGCGCCTCGTACCTACACTGCCACATACAACACAAGGTCAGAGCTCTAAAACTGAGAGCAGTATCAGGACATGAGAAAAACTCGCTCGTAATTTAACAGAAGTGCACCTTAAGACCCATAACGAAGACTGGCATAACCAGAAGCGATGAATTTCCCATTATGCAGCAAGTTCATCTGCAGCACTGCCTGCTAAAAATGACAACGCTGGAGTTTATTTAACTGCCAAAGCATCAGAAGTTATACGGCAAATTAAATCAATAAACTCATCTCTGTACGGAATGGTTACCTTCCAGTAAGCTTAATTCTCTGCAGTTTTATTATTATTGTCTTAGTGTCACGTCCAGGTATGTCATTTTGCCAAGAGCGATCAACAATTACTTTACACAAAA